TGAGTGACTACTGGGAATTGTTCACAGTGATGTCAGCATGAATGACTATGGGAATTGTTCACAGTGATGCCAGCATGAATGACTATTGGTAATTGTTCACAGTGATGCCAGCCTGAATGACTATTGGTAATTGTTCACAGTGATGCCAGCATGAATGTCTACTGGTAATTGTTCACAGTGATGTCAGCTTGAATAACTACTGGTAATTGTTCACAGTGATGTCATATTGAATAACTACTGGGAATTTTTTCACATTGATATTTTGTATTAAGGTTTCATTAACTATGATTAGAAACCAGACTGTCATTGCAACTTAATTCCCTTAATAGACGAATGTTGATGATTCTAATTGTCGCCGAGACTTGATAAGGTTATTAGTGTAGTGACTGAGGGGGACTAGTTTCAGTACTGGTGAGTGAGTACATGAGGGATAAATAGCTTGAAAGTAACAATTTGTGTGTAGCAGGTCTGGAAACGACGTACGAACTATTTATAAAGAAATAACGTGATCAAATGTTCTTCCACGTCTTGTGAATGGTGAAGATAAGGAAGCGTATGCAATATACACAAATACACAGTCTGCTACATGCTCGGATATATTAAACTAAGGCACGAAAACAGTGTCGTAAAACATAAATTAAAACACTACTTTTTAAACATAAGGATCGTGACGTGTTTTAGCAGCTACTGGTTGTCTTCTTCGGAGGTCTTTTGTATTGAAAATAGTGTTTTAATTCACGCTTTATAATTTTATTTTAGTGCCTTAACTTGATACGGTTATATAGAAATTCGTTTTGGAAGAAATGATATATCTCTCTTAGGCTTAACAATATTATTTGTTTGAAGGTAACTTTGGCATTAAGAAAGTGCTGCCTGTTTATTGTTCTTTGCGTAGTGCGATATAAGACCAAATAAGGAAACCTGAATGAATCACATGCAAAACGTTACGTAACGGTTCTTGGCTTCCATTTATTCGTTATAGTCGTCAGCAGTTTTTCAAAACTACACATAAAGCTCGTTTGTGAACACAAGGGTATCGATATTTTGTAAAAGAGCGATTCTTATTTGATGTTGTAAAAATAACATTATTTATATATGCTTATATGTTATTTTTGCGTAAGTTTATCATTGACTCATTTTAGTTACTCCTCCCACGCATTTCTAAAAAGAATACATAGCAAAGAGAGGGCTAGAAGCTACTAAAAATAGATGATTAATTTTTAGTGTGACGTAATGACGCCACACAAGGCTATTACACAGTAGAGATTGATGCCAGTGTTCGGTAAACAAAACCATGTGATGTGACGTCAAATGCCACTCTGTACCACACTCCATGAGTACCAGGTGTCAGAAATCTGACACCAGAGGTCTATGGTTATGTTCACCAAAGTGAAGATCTTGGGTTCCTGGAACAGTCATGTAAAACATACACAAAACTGATCAAAGTCACATGTATACAATATTGAGTGTGTTATGTATGTTAATTAATCAAGTGGACGCCATATAGAATAAATTATGTATGTTAATTTAAGTGCACTTTTAATAAAGAAAAAATTTTGGTGCTCTAAAGTATCTTGTGTATCATTCTCTGATGGATAAACATTAAGTACAGTAGTTGTTATATAGCAGTTGTATATTCCCAAAGTTATAACAAAATGGGTAAACAAAATAAATTTATGACATTTATTACTTCAACTTTTCACAGATAGGATAGGCCTGGACAGTTTTCAGTTTGTTCTGTTAGTGGTAATTAGTGAGGTATGATAGTTACAAATGATAGGGGGTAATATTAAGGTTATTTTCATGATAACAGTTAGTATTAGTGTAGAATAATCATTAGTCAGATGTGATAATTTGGGGTTGAGGAATAATTAAAAACTGGGAAGAGTTATGTTTTTGTCTTTAGGGAGTATAATTTGGTAGTTTACATGTTTGTTCAACTGGGCTGAAGTAACCATGGGCTATTGGTATCAGCCAAGGTCCTAGAAGGAATGGATAATTAAGGAAGAATGCCACAAGTTTCTGAATTCAGAAGCTTGTGGATAATTGAAAAAACTCTAAATTTATTAAAAGATAAAATTTGCTGATGGATGCCAGTGATGATGCAGTTAAACAAAAGTTACCAGCAGATATATATATATATATAACTATTTTTAATAGGGCATTCAGCATTTCAGTAATAATGGAAGTTTCTCATTAAAATGTTAACACTCAAACTATTGTCTTGTATACATACCATTCATTACTGGCAGGGTCCACAACAGTTGTAAAGAAATGACAAAATTTGGTTGAAATCATTCATTTTCTTAGTCAAATACATGGGAAACCTCAGCAGTGGTGCATTACTGACAATAATTTTGTTTAAATCTTTTATGTGTAACTTGTATATATTAGGGATCCTGTAACCAACAAAGTCATTGAGCCCACAAGCCATTTGGTACATAAATAGTTTGTTTAGTAAGTAATAGTTTCAAAAAATGTGTTTGAAAATCCATTGGGGTACATGGACCCCATTGTTAATTTAAGGTTAGTGGATTAAAGGTAGAAAATTTTACAGATTTACACCTAGGTAAATAATTGCAAGAATGGAAGAGAGTATCCAAAGTACAGAAGCAAAATAATAAGATAAAATCTGTCAACTTTACATGTCATAAAGCATGCAATAGATGTGCAGAATAACAACCTCACTCATGTATAAAAACTCGATTATATTCTTCAGTTACCTCCAATTCCTTGCATAACTCTTAAGACATTTCTATCTCGTATGAGACAATTACATGAATTGATTATTCTCATAGATTTAATTCTACACATTTGTAGATGATTATACATAATACATTAATTGTCTATAAATTTAACGGTAGCATATTGATTTTTCTGGCATCAGTCACAGTTGCCCCCAGTGGCACAGCGGTATGTCTGCGGACTTACCACACTAGAAACCGGGTTTCAATAGCCCCTTGTGTAGCTTAACTTCAAACAAAGGTCACAAACTTTTGTTGGTTTTTAATTTTTGCTTCTTTGTTTTTACTTTGAAGTGTGTCTATTATTCAAACATCATATTCTTGAAAATGTTTTTCACTATATCAGGAAAAAAATACAGTTAAGTATTTGAAAACTGCCACTTGCCTGTGTAAACATCGCCACTCTTTCTTAAACTAAAACTCGAGGATTCAACCTAATAAGCATGTTGTAACAAATTAACTTGCTGGTATTTATAGTTTTAAAAGTGTATGTATTGTCTCTGCATTGGTAAGTACATTGACATTGAACATTCCCAGAGTTGATTGGTTGCTTCAAGTACAAACAACACAGTTTACAAAATGAGAAAACCACCTGTATTAGAAAGTTCTACTCATTATTACATGTGAAACAAAAAAAGCAGAATAAATACTCTTATAGTTCAAAATAAAGTTGTTCCGGGGAAAATTGGGATCGAAATATTACATTCCAACATTCCTGAGGAATTTAATCTATTTAGTTGGCTTTTCTGATCAGGAATGCATGGTACATTCATATTCTTTTCGTTATGACCAATGAAAGTGAACATATTGCATGGATTAAATAAAAAAACAATTCATGTGAAAATGCAACTTCACATGAGGGAAGGTAATCTTCCTGATGGCTTTCCTTAGAGTGATTGTAATTTTAATTCATTATTTGTATCCCTGAAACAGTCAGAATGGGGCTGAGCTGTATGCACATTTGTTGCAATCTTAGTCTTAAACTGTTTCTTGCTTGCTTAATTTGAGTTGTTTAAATGGTGCTTCACATTAAAGAGTTAAATATTATCAGTGTTTTGCATATTACAGTTCATAATCTGATTGTGTTAAGATCAAAATTAGGTTAAAAATATTTAATTGGATGGTTCTCATTACAATAATTAAATTAATACTTGTCTATTGGTTTGAATTGTGGTTTGTGATAGGTCAAGTAACAACTATAAACTCTTAGTAGATCAGAAGCATTAGAAATGTATCTCAGAACTTTCAGTTAAAATCCAAAACTACTGAGTAACTAGTCAAGTTTTTCTAATCATCATTCTTAACCATGCTTTTTATTTTTCACATGTTGAGCAATTGTTGGTTTGTTTAAGTAAGAAAACCATATACATAGATTCTCAGCAGTTATATTTGTCAATTCTTATAAGCATATATTAAACCCTGAGCTGGCAGACATTCCTCATCTAGACTCGCAAAATAAAGTACAGTTATTCTAAATCATTTTGCTTACAGAGTTTACAAAATTCATCAAACCATCAATTATGGCAGATTGTTTATTTTCACAAAAATGAGACTCTGAAAACAAAAGCTTCAGTTCTTGTTACCTTCTTATTGTATTTTTCTTTGAGTTTATTTGTAAAGCCATGGTTACATTATGTGTTTATGTTAAGAAAAAAAAATTAATGTACAAAACATACGAAGTGAAGTTATATTGACAAATTGCTTGGTAATTTAAGTGATTCAAAACATCATTCAACTTATTATCATACAAGTTTTCTGTATAATTTTATTTTTTTATTAATTTCTACTTGTCTCTAAAACTAACTGTAAGAAATCATACAACAAACTTAATGTAGTTTGTGCATATTTGAGTATTCTATCTCATTTGTGACAGTAACTTTTAATCCATCTTTATTTTAGAATTCCCTCTTTGACTTTATCAACTTATTTGGTTAGAAGCAAGTAAAAATCAACCAAATATGAAAATACATATCTAGTGATACAGTATTTAATTTAAATTGATATTTGTATATGAAGGTAAAGACTTTGTGTTTATATATCTCTATTTGTTGTGAAATAAATCCATAATGTTAAATATTTGATTCATTAAATACTTCTGTTTAGTTTTTCTTAACAAAATGAAACTAATTACATCTATTTTTATATAGCTATGGAGTCATATTTAGATTTGATTGATAATTTTTTGAACTGCCAGCCATGTATAATTATGCTAATCCACTGTTGTTTATTAAACTTGTGGATAATATTTTTAATCAGCCATGAAACCAAGACAACCACTTGGGAGGATCCACGAAAAGCTGTCAACATCTCATCGTTACTAGGATCCAGAAGTTCAAACCCTCCAGTGTCCAGCTCAGGTGGAAATCTTCCACCAGTGTATGTTCAAAGCCTTGGACCACTGCCAGATGGTTGGGAACAAGCCACCACCCCTGAAGGAGAAGTGTATTTCATCAACCACAAAGAAAGAATTACAAGTTGGTTTGATCCAAGAATTAGTAAGTTTAAAATCCTTAGAACAATTGGCTTAAGAATTAGTAAGTTTAAAATCCTTAGAACAATTGGTCTAAGAATTAGTTAAGTTTAAAATACTTAGAACAATTGGCCTAAGAATTAGTAAAGTTTAAAATACTTAGAACAATTGGTCTAAGAATTAGTAAAGTTTAAAATACTTAGAACAATAGGTCTAAGAATTAGTAAAGTTTAAAATACTTAGAACAATTGGTCTAAGAATTAGTAAAGTTTAAAATACTTAGAACAATTGGTCTAAGAATTAGTAAAGTTTAAAATCCTTAGAACAATTGGCCTAAGAATTAGTTTAGTTTAAAATACTTATAACAACTGCCCGAAGAATTAGTTAAGTTTAAAATACTTAGAACAATTGCCCTAATAATTTTTTAAGTTTAAAATACTTAGAACAATTGTCCTAAGAATTAGTTAAGTTCCAAGTACTCAATACATACCATTGTTAAAATAAGAAAGGCACTATTCCATTAATGTTAATTATACAGATATGACCCATAGTTGAACTAAAATCTAAATGCTTATTTTGTGTGGTTAAGAATTTTTATTTAAGAGTATAGATAGCTGTGTGCATAATTATTTCACAAAATCACTTTTTCTTTTTTAATTAGGCATAATTGTATAAAAAACTTGGTAGATTTCAATCATGACTGTAATAAGATTGCTTTCAAAGTTTTCCTTTTTTTGCTTTATCTAATAATTATTTTTATGCAATAGTATTTCTTGTTGGTGTCGTGTGATGTGTCCTTTCAGTGAAATGTAATTGTATATGAATTGTTTTCATATTAAATTTTGAGTTTTTGTATTGAAATTATGAAACTTGTTTAGTAAATGGTTTGAGAACTTGTTAAATTAGACTGGCTGTCATTAGCGCTGAACATCAGCCTCATTTACATACTGAATTCCTTATCTTATAAATAATATTTCTTAATAATTTTAAAAAAATCACTGTTTTGTATGTCAACATATTTAATAAATAGTGTAACAATTATTACACCCTAATATATACTCACACAAGACAATTTGAAATTTTGTTCTTTTTACAAAACAATTTGTCATCAAAATTCTCAAACTAGCTACACTAATAGTGTGTTGGAGAAAGAAAATGTATTAGCAGTTATTGTTACAAGACTGTACTATACATGTATTATATAACTAATAATTCAAATTTAAAAATGTATCAAAGTGATTGAAGACAAGTGGATTGTAGCATTTGGAGCTTAAATGTTTTGTTATAACAGTAATACTGCATAACAACTATTATTAGAAACGAGAGACTACAAATTAGTTAAAACCATTTTGAAGTTAATAAAAGTTCAATTAACAAAAGTACAGCTTTTGTTAATCGTAATTATGCTGGTGACATATGTAGTCATTTTAGATCAACAGTACAAAGGATGACAAAAATTACCAATACACAAATCTAAGTACAGTGAAAGCTGACTTGCAATGAGTGTAATTGTTTTAGTATTGGTAGTTCAGAACCTTTATCATTGTTTTAGTATTGGTAGTTCGGAACCTTTGTCATTGTTTTAGTATCGGTAGTTCGGAACTTTTATCACTTCCTTCCTAGGTAAAGAACATCAGAACACCTATCTGTCACAAAATGAAACTACAAAATAGCTTTCACACAACAATTAAACAAGTGGACTTTTTCATGTAGCCATAACGTACAAAATTGAAGCTTTGAAGTAATTACATAAATGTATAGTTTGTATTATGGTGAGACTGGTGATAGTGAAGTTTTGCTTTGTTCAGTGTATTGTAAGTGAAGCTTTATTTACAGTTAAGAGTTTTGTTATTTTTAAGATTTTGTACATAATTCTAATGTTTCAAGAATTTTTATTGTTGGACAATTTTTGCTCTTTTGACACATAGTGAGGACAGTTTTTTGTAGTTATACTTTTTTATGTGTTGTAATAGTGAGGACAGTTTTTGTAGTTATTACATTTTGTATGTGTTGTAATAGTGAGGACAGTTTTGTAGTTATTATACTTTGTAAGTGTTGTAATAGTAAGGACAGTTTTTTTGTAATTATTACATTTTGTATGTGTTGTAATAGTGAGGACAGTTTTTTGTAGTTATTACGTTTTGTATGTGTTGTACTGTTGCAGACTTAAGTCAGTTTTGTTTTCCTCATGCTTTCAAGTGTAGGTTGTGGAAAGTAGTTTTGTGTTAGTTTTCAAGATCAGAGAAAATAATCCTTTCATTTGTGTATATTTCATGGACAAGTGTAAGTAAAAAAATCTGAAAGCAAATTGATACTTAATTATTGTTGACTAGGAAATTTCAAAAAGAAAAGAACAACTGATTTCATAACAGGTGACAGTTTTTTATTTTCTAGATTAAAAACATAAATAAATATCTGTGTATAAGTTGGAATTTAGTTTCAAGAAAACTCCAATGTTTAAAGAGAAGGTAATTTGGTTGAATAACAGGTAAAGTATAAGTTTGAAAACAGTCTTGAGGTTATTGCTAGTAGTGATAGCTTTATTTTTTCTGTTTTATAATAAGTTTTTGTTATATAAATATTTTTATTATGACATGTTTTTATGTGAAAATTAAAAATATGTAATGGACAGTACAATCGACATACTTAATGGTCAGTGTTTGTTCAAAACATACTTTTGGGAATGGAAGCTTGGAACAAGTATTTATAAATTTCCAATTATCTTGAATTATCATGGTTTTTCCTTAGCTTACTTCTTAGTAATGTGTCCAGCAGAACTTAACTACTTCTGGTATCAAGTGGACAAAATACAATGTCTTGCTTTGTTCAATCTTATTTTCAAGAACAGAATGAAAGAAAAATAAAAATGGATTGCTTTTTAAAGTGAACTTGTGTAATTGTTTATCCTAAAACAATAATTATACTGTAGAAAAGTTGAGTTACATTCACAGTAAAATAACTGAAATATTTTGTATCACTTGTATAAGAGCTTGAATGATACAGAGTAGGACAATGAACTGTTGGTAAAATGAATGTGAACAACCTCTGTTTAACAAATTAAACCTGTTGAGAAGTGTAGATTTATCTCTTGTCTCATGTGGATACCAGTATTCTAATATTTTGATGAAGATTGGGTATTGCCATCCTCTTGTTATTTCTATTGTGTATTAAAGACTTGTGCATTTTAAAATGTTCTTTTCAAGCTAAATAGGTTTGGGGGATATCTCCACTTGTGATTAGTTATTTTGTTATAATTTTAACTGTACATTAAGTGGTTGAATTGCTGTTTGTTTTTTTACAGTGCAACAACTTGGAAACTTACAACTTGCACCAACACAGCTACAACAGACTGTGGTTCCATCCCAACAACAGCTGGAGGTTAGTGTCCTGACAGTTTCTTAACACCATAATCATGATTTATGGTGGTTGCTGAATTTTTTTACTTAGGCCTTCCATATTTGTGTGTCATGATGATAAAAAACAGTTGTATTGCCAGTAGTTGTAATATTTGTTTGAGATATTAGTGTGGCTTGAAATAAATACAAATTTAATAAGAAAGCTTCTAAAAACAGTTAACATCTGTGACTTCTCTAAACTTGGACAACAAAACTGGCTTTAATTGTAACTAAGGCTATTGCCACACACAACTTTGAAACAATGGATACAGTGCACTTATCTTTGAGATACACTATCCTGGCACTGTAGTTTCTTTCTTTTTTAAGGTCTAATTCAGTGTGATTATTTAGTATTTTAATTTAGATTTAAGTTTTTATTAGGTAACTTTTAATCATCCTAGCTAGTTCTTATCTTGTGAAAAGGTTTTTCAGATCTTATGTTATTTATTTGTGATAGGATAATCAGTAAAAAAGTATGTTTTAAAAGTGTAGTTGTAATTAGAGAGAGAGGAATAGATATCTTGTAGTAGTTCTATAAAAAGAATTGTAGTCATAAAATAGTACAAAATAAGATGTGCTGTTATATTTTTTATAATGATTAGTAACAAAGCTTGCTAGTCTAAGAGACTTGTGAATTACAGGCACAAGTCAGTTCTACCAGTAACGGAACACTCGCTGCTTCAACCACTGTTACTACTGTTACTGCAGCTCTACCTACTGGTGCCACGTTGCAGCAGCAACAACAACAAAAATTAAGACTCCAGAAACTCCAGATGGAGAGAGAGCAGCTCCGTATGAGACAGCAAGAAATTTTACGACAGGTAATTACTCTTGTACATTTATCTAATGTTTAAAAGAGTTTACTTACTGGCCGTAAGTAACTTAAAGTTTACAAGTAGTAGTTTTTCAAGAAAAGCTGCTTTCTTAATAGAATGGTACTATTAATTTTTATGTTTGGGAAAGTGACTACTCCAATGGCTCACTTGTTTTGAGTTCTCCTGTGTATAAACTGTTAAATTCAGAAAATTTAAAATATGAAACTTTGAAAAAGAACAATTCCCCTGATTTTGTTCATTTTCTGTAAAAGAAAAATTATAGTTTAATGTTTTGGGTACGGTACACAGTATTGTTAAATATATAAAAATTATACACATAGTGAGTTGTTTCTTGCACTGAGGAGCATTTTTTTATTAATCTTAGTTTGTGAAATACTAAGCTCAGATGTGTTTACTTTAACAGATACTTCATAGAAATATGGTCAGATTTTTATATTCTAGCTTATGTGATATAAAAGGTTGTTATAGGATTAAATATTCAGGCATATAATGTGCACTATTTTTAGTATTTTGTCCATCTGCTTTGAAGAACAAGTTGGACATAATGGATATGTTTTGTGTGCTAAATAATTTTGAGCTACATGTGGTAATGTTGTATGAGGAAAGCATGTCAGTTTCCATGGTTGAGAATGCCCAGTAAGTTGTCTATGTATAGTTTCTCAATAGGTAATTTTGGTGTTGGACTAGCTTGGAATAGTGCATGCAGAAGTCTATGAGCATGGCTACAGTATGATGTTGACTTTCTTGTGCTTGTCGCCTTTCTGAGAACACATTAAAGTTTTGGTTTTTAATGTTGTTGTAATGGACAAAAAAAAAAAAATTATTTGTTGAGGAAAAAAATCTAAAACTTGTCCAGCTGTGCCTACATGCTAGCTATTGTTACATGTTTAGATTACTATAAAAAATAAAAAACTTAGCAGAATTTAGATACGCATGTGAAAGTTAATATTGTTGTATTATCCATGAGTTACACTTATAGTAGTAATTCCTTTAACACTTTTGAGGTTTATTTCTGTTTTTTTGCTTTATTTAGATGCTGTGCATTAACTCTCTAAATTTGTAAAGGTGCAAATTGTAACCTTTATATGAAAACTGTAAAACATATTAAAGAACCTACATATGATCATTTTATACTGTGGGCTATTGCACACTCATATTAGCTGAACATATATCATAGATCAAATGAGCTGTTAACTAAATATAACTATTAGTTGAATACCTGGATTAGTTTAATTCATTTTGTAAATGCTATGAACTGACTCCAAAGTTCCTTGGTAGCAAATGTGGGCATTCTGGAGAACCATATTCTAAGTTCTGCACATAGGTTACCAAAATAAGTTTTTTTAAACAAGCTAGTTTAGTACAAAAAGTAAAAATTATTGTTGCATTGTGATCATTTCTTAGTTTGTTTTATTTTACTAAATAGCCAGGAAAAGTAAATGTAAAATATATCTTGGCTAGTTCCCTTGGTCATGTCAATAATTAGACCTTTAGTTCTGTCCATTTCCTTCTTGCTGCTTTACTGTTTGCCATTTGCAAATTTTTAATCATGTGTATAAATCTTGTTCACATTATGATTTTATATGTATTGTCAGTACACCACATCTGTTGATAGAATCTCAGATATGTTGTAATTCTACTATCTTACTTCTGTCTAGTACGTATCCAACCTTGTATAATTACATTTTCTCTTGGTACTTTGTGGAGTGCACTTCGAGGTCTGCACAATTTTACACCCCTGTTATTGAACAAATCCAAGTGATTTCTTTATTGTTTCTAGCCTGGTTCCTTGATTGGATAGCCAACTGGTCTGATGAGGGTACTCCAATATTTTTTATTTTCACTCTGCCTCAGAATTCATTAGGGAATTAATATACTTTGTTTGCCAGGAGATAAAGAGTTAAAACCAGTGGATCTTTATGACTCATCTGTGTATTTGGATGAGACTTCTTCAATCCAAAGATGTAGGATGGGGAAGTGTATCAAGTTTCACCCTTTTTAGGCAGATTTCTCCCTGTTTGTCTTTTTTATTGGCAATGTTACTGAATTCAATCATTCTTATCAAAGCTTACTAGTGTTGTTTCAAGATTGGAGAACTTAAAGCCAAATTTTCTAGCAGTGTTTGAGAACAAGTATTGTTCTTATATACATTTTATTGTATTTCCAACCTGCTCCAGTAGTATGTTAGGCTAGATGATTAATGGGTGTAGTCTGTGAAGGTTTATGGATTTCCGAAGAACTAGTTTTGGGACCTTGAGTTTTAGCAGTTTTTGAGTGTATGTATAACTAACATGAAGTTTCTGTTTCCTTTTTTATTAGGCTTTTTTCTTTCTTTCACCAAGAGATTACTTCAATGCAACCTAATCTTATATCAGTCGGTTCTTCAATGTTTTCAAAATATTTTGGACCCAATTCCTGATTTCTGTTCTCATCCCATTTTGGTTTCTAAAACAATGGCAGTCTCTCAATATGTTCTAGAATTATCTATTCTCATTTGTTTCTATAAAAGGTCTTTGGATTTCTAAAATGAACATAGCAAATGCCTGCCTTTAAATTCTAATTCATCTGTCTTTGTTTCCTTCTTCTTTTTTTTTTTTTCAGGACTCAAATTTTTATCAGTTCCAGATTGTAGCCTTCAGTTTGGCATTTGTTCCTTATGCTTTCACTAGAATAATCAGTGCTGTGACAGTGACTTTTGGTTACTACAGTTTCCTTCTTAGAGACTTGCAAGGTTTGATACACAGTGGGCACACTAGAACAGCACGTTAGTGGGTTGGGTAGTAAAGAAATTCAAATCCAATCTTCATCCAACTCAGTATTTAACATACCCGAGTGTCCTGATAGATTCTCATATGGGAAAATTTGATACACAGTGATAAGGTTATTCTTGAATAATATTTTTGAAAAATTCTGAAGTCAAGTCTTCTCCCATAAATTAGACTGTATTTCTGGTGCTTGTTGTGGTAGTATATGTTCACGTGGTTATGGCTCATCTTCAAGTAGGGAGTTTCAGGCTGTAGTCACAGATTATATCTCTTATCAATGAACTAGCCATCACATAAGTTACATTGCCTTCCAACCAAGTAATTTGTTTTTCAGTTCTGCATCATCATTTTGAAGATCGATTTTCAAATACCAATTTTTGTTCCTTTTTCTATGTAGTGTCAGTTTCCTAGCTTAGAATTATTGTATAAGTGAAACCTTAATTTCTTGAGGTTATCATTTCAACAATAAAATGTTATTCAAAGAAAGCCTTTAATATATAGCATTAAAATGCTGTACAAAGAAAAACTTAACTGTATCTTTCTCGCCCTCCTTTCCATGTTCATAGATAGTTCTAGAAAATGTGACATTGAGGGTTGGATAAGTATTAGTAGGAATCAAACGGTAGTACCTACTTAGCTGATGATGGACGATCTAGGTATTTAATCAGTACAGAGAAAGAGGCATGTGACAATACATGGATGTTTATAGTGAATGAAGTTTGTGCAAAATTACACATGACCAAAGAATAAACAAAAAATCTTGATTCTTTACATAATCAAGAGAAAAACAAAGCAGAGGTATCTTTCTGAAGTATATTTCAATGTTAAAATATTGATGTATATAAATTTGCATTTAATAAATCTTATAAGCATGGTGTTGTATGCAAAATATTATGTGGCTCCCGTTATCTTTTCTCTTAAGGTTTACTTTTTGGTATGTCTATTGTGTATGTGGTCAACACTGTTAGTCAGGTGGGTAGCCAATGTGAAGTGTAGGATAGCATAAAACTTTTTTAAATGAAAACCTAAGGCCAGAACAAGAGGTCAAAACTTTAGTTATAATTTGGATTAAGGGAGATGAATTTAATTTTTATGCTTGGTTTAGAGGTTTAGCCAACTGTTACCTTCATTTTGGTAGTTTTTATATTCTTCCACAGTTTTTATTAATTGATACACCATGCATGTAATACCAGCTTTTTACATTATTAAATCTTTGCTAATTTTCTGGGTAAATCTAACATAACACTGTTTTTAATTTTTGAAGTACTAAGTAGGTTAAGACTGTATCGGTAAGTCTTCATCTGGTGCGTTTATATAAAGTTTTGAATAATATCTTATTATGGGGAAATCCCAATTTCAAAACTTGCAAGTTTCTTTATTTTCTTTCAGTATAAATTGACCATTTCTTCTGACCAGCATTTAAAACTACATAGAGTAAGATCATCTTAATAACTAAGATCTTTATAATTATTCTACTTCTTGGGAATTTTCAGGATTAAATTCTCAAACAACTTTAGAATGTTATGAAAGTTACATTAATATTTTTGCTTCTTATGACCCATCAGAATAATATTCTTGAGTTTGATATTACCAACTACGATTCTGATAAGGAGGCTAGCCACTTAAGATTTTTTATTAACCAAATAAGTTTGGCTGATAGGTTTAATGAGGTTCCTGAAGATGGACATGAAATCTTATTATACCCACATAGTTATAAGTAGTTTCTGGAATTAAACATTTAATTTTTAACAGAAAATCTCATGGTTATGTATGAAGTAGTAGAATTTAGTTTTTTGTATGATTTCCTGGTGATGTATTTTTCTTATTTTTAGTACTTGTTTGGTATGTAGATATTTCTGTTTACTACAATCTTCTAGCTTTATTTTGTTGTTTAAAACTGTTACTTTAGTTCAGAGTATCCACTTGATAGTGCTTAGATCCTGAACTTGAATATTTAATGTTTTCAGAAATAATTTAATTTAGATTTAGTGTAAATGTTTTACTAATAATCAGCTCATGGAGTGAACCATTTCAGCTTGTTAGTAATGCTTGATTCAGTGTATATGTTGGACTAATAAAAAGCTTTTACTTTATGGAGAAAGAAAAAATTCAGCTTCTTAGAATTCATGTAATTCGGAACAGGCATTTAATCTGTTGGTACATCGATTTCCTTTTTTGAATATTTTATCAGTAACTATATTTTCGAAGGTGTTCATAATATTTTTGTGGATTGAAGTTTGTTGTATAGGATGTATAAAAAAAGAGAGAACAAGTATGGTTTATAGTGCGTGTTTTCTTTTCAGCACATGTCTGTTACATGCATATAGATGGTAGTTACAGCTCATTGCTTGTACATCTACCGTGAGGCATGTTCTTTATGGTTTTCTCCACACTAAAATATATATATCTTGTGCTTTGCAGCCGACCTGCCTTGGAAATCCCATGCTTAAAGTGAGTCTATGCATTTGACACTAGTTTTCAGGGATTACTAACACTACTTATTAAGCTCTTTGTCATTTTCTTTGTTGTTCTCACTAACAGAACTTCTTGTTTTATATATATATATGTATATTGTGTTTGTTTTGCTGTTGTACAATTACTTGTATGTGCTTGATCCTTGCATGTGTGTGGACTTGCAAGGTGTATTTGACTATGGGCATGACAATTTGAAGAACATTAACATCTAAATAGAATAAGCTAGGACTAACAGACTTTTTTTTTGTTGCTATTGTATTATTTGCATTATTTCAAAACTGGAACTATACTTAATGGTTAGTTAATCTGAGTTATAATATTACTTTATATTATAAAAAAGCTAAGAATGACAAGAAGGTGTAATTTTTCTTTCATTATGTCAGATTTTAGAGGATTAGTAGATAAATATTGTGTTAAATGCTTTGAAATGTTATTTGGTTTCTATATTCTACTGGGTCAGATATTAGGTTTTGACTCTGTACTGTTTGTTTTTCTAGTAAGTAACTTCTACATAATATAAGAAGCATTTAGTGGTACTTGGACCTTTTTTTTTTTTCTGGTTACACCTATACTTGTGTAAAATGTTATTCCTCTAACACATTGCTTGTTTGTATCACATAAACTTTCTTCTTCCTAGGAAATGTTGTTGAGACAAAGCTTAGGAGAAGAGAATCCATCACTTCCAACATCTCCAACTGGAAATGTTCCCACATTAACATCCCCAGGTGGCACTGGTCTTGATCCATTTTTGGCAGGAACAGATTTCCACAGTCGACAAGAGAGTGGTGACAGTGGCCTGGGACTTGGCTCAAACTTTAGTCTTCCCCATACTCCTGACAACTTTCTTGTGTTAGATGAAACTGGAGGTAGGATTTTAAATATTTCAACTATTTTGAAAAGGTTTGCTGTAGGAATTTTTTATTTTTTTTACCTTCTGATGGATAGTTTCTTTAATACAATTTTATACATTGTTTGCACTGCAAAGAATCTTCAAGTCCTTTTATCACTTGCAGTTCCTTCCACATTCTATGTCTGGATGTTTGTAAGTACTTGAAAATTGGACAGAATTAGGCTACGGGTGATATTTTATCTGTTGGTATAAATGATAGTATTAATTACTGATAACTGAAAATAATCAAGTAAATCACTGTCAACGTGAGAAGCTCTGTAAATTAACCTATTTACCTATTTTATATCAATTATTAAAGTACAAAACTATCACTGTGACTAAAACAATCCTGTGAAACTTAGTTTATAATAAGTATCTGTTCTAAATTGCAAGGGGGAATCAGAGAGAAAGAATGCATAAAACTTTCAGACTTAAGTGGCATGCATTAGCCCAGTGGTTCCAAACCCTTTTCCAACTGAGGACTAGTTAGTTCCGATCCCAAAGTTTCATGGATGGTTTTATACAATATTTACTTTTAAATTACATTGTAAAAAAACAATACACTTCAGTAGCTATGTTTTAAAACATGTTTCCCCCCTCCCCTCCATTTATCTCATGGAATGACAGTTAGAAGCCACATTTTGCAGATTATAACTGAAAATGGAATTGACAAATGGCAAGTCTGGTTGGTTGAAACAAAGAAGATCAAATACAGAATTACAGTCTTACATTCATTAAAAATATGTTACTATTCATAAAGGAATGCATTTTAGATATGTATATTAAAGAAATAATATTAATCAAAATATCATAATTAAACTTGAACATTAACAATTTTAGATATGTATATTAAAGAAATAATATTAATCAAAATATCATAATTAAACTTGAACATTAACAATTTTAGATATGTATATTAAAGAAATAATATTAATCAAAATATCATAATTAAACTTGAACATTAACAATTTTAGATAAAACTTCTTTTGAAAATGTGATAGTCTGATTTCAGCATTTTGTTGTTTTCTTTTTTTTTTAAAAGTAAAAACTGAACATGAAGGTTTGCTTTTAGAGGATTTTAAGTTTTCATCTTCTTCAGCTTTGTATTGTACTTTCATCAAAACAAGATTTGAGTTTTCTTTTTATACAAAATTTTCAATAGAATAATAAAACAATCATAAATGCTAAGCTCAATTTCTATTTCCTGCTACAAAAAAGTGCCTGAACTTCTAACAAGTTTACACTTTTACTTATATTTGGAACTTGTTTCTAGCCGAAATAGTTAACACAGAGTATGGGTTTATTTAACTGTGTCAAAAATAATAATGAAATTACAGTACACTACAGGAATCAGAAAATTTACATTATATGCATTTGTGTATCAATTACAGAGCTAATCTAGTAACTTTTAACCGTGAAGTCTAGGATTTTATCATACAGAATGTAGTGGCTGTTTATCTTGTAATAGATAAACAGAACTGAATTAATCATTCAACTATAATTTAGTATTTGAGCTTTAAAGCTATACAACCTTTGGTTCACCTCTTGGAGAGAAAACTTCATTTGAAAATTATTTCTTCTTGTTTGTGTCAAGATTCCAGTGAAAGGCCATTGCCTTTTGCAAAATAAGTTACTCATATAAGACCCATTTTTAGTGCTAAACTAGTCAATATAAAATGGAAGAATGTCAAAAAATCATGTTTACACTATTCTCAGTTGCAAGATTTGAAGGTGTGATGTTTGCATGCAGTCATGATGGGGTTCAGGTTAAAGCAATCGGAGAGATTGTCCAAAAACATTACAATCCAATCAAAAGATGAAAGGAAAACTAAAAAGCAGTAGGAATAGTAAGAATAAGATACTTTGTTCTTTTCATTTTAACCACTTTCATTGTTCTCGATCATTCAGTGATTGACAGACTTAAATGTGATAGATTAGACCCCAACCAACAAAGTCCTAAAAATAACCGAAGAAGAATTATTGTTGTTTTTAAATGTGCACAATGTCTTAGATTTCATGAAGATGTTGAAAATCATTTGTACAGTGCAAATCAAGGTCAAAATGAATGGCCCAGAAGAAAAGTAACCTTGCTTTGGTAAAACTTTTCATCAACATAAAAACACTTGAGTTTTTTAAAGCAAGAGATCTAACCCTAACATTGTGTAAAGTGTTACATGAGAAACTAGTCTATCAGATTTTCTCTTTTTTTCAAAGATGCCATCAAAACATGGCAATTTTTGTATAATTGACTCACAGTATTTAGGGTTAAAATAATTTTTACTGAAATTATATTTTATTTCGCATTGAAAATTGGTAAGGAAAAGTAGGCTACTAAATTCACCAGAAGCTGTTAATCCTGCTTTAGTCTTCCGGGGTCTTTACGGATCCCAAATATTGTGAAAATGTCAGCACTGGCATGTTTCGATGATGTTTGTTGTTCTCAGTAGCTTCAGTATTCAAGTAGTTTGTGTTAAATTGTTATACTTAGTATAGTGGTAAAAAAATAAACAAGTTGTAATATTTATTGTTCATTGATTAATGAAGGAAAAGATTTTGAGTGCTAGTGTCTTTTTTTTTTCAAAATAATAGTTTATTATTATTTAAATATTTTGAAAGAGTGACTATGGAAAATTTTTACAGGAAATTTTAATACAGAGTTATCTTAGATAAAGTGATTGGCATCACATTGTGAAATAAATAAGATCTCAAGAGAAAAAAAAAAACAATGATGAAATATATGTCTTAGCCCAAAGACAAATGTGTGGAAGAAAAACTGTCTGTTAATGGTTTATGCACCAGTATAACAAGCAGAATGAAACATTCTTATTTTTTCTTTAAAAGTATATGTAGATGAACAAAATTTGTTCTTTGTATGTGTGTCATATATATATAATATATTAGCTGTCCTTCCTGTTGGTGTCTGTGAATATTAAAAATTTAGTTAAAATGACACTATATTTCTGCTCAGAAGTTCATATATTATGGGTAGTATTTGTGTATATATTTCTTTATTCAAGTATTTTGGTTTTTCTGCTTGACAAAATTATTTCTTTACTATTTTGTAGTATGTACATTTTATTTTCTGTAGACAGTTGGCAAAAATATGTCTATTTCATACCTGTGAAACACCTTCTGTTAAGCATAAAAAGTTATTCTGTTCTGACAACTTAAAATATCTGCAAGTTATCAGTTTGTCTATTTCTATGTATCTGTGTTTTGTGGGGAAATTCTGTTTTAAAGAACTGCTAAACTAGGCTGAAGGAATGAATCTGTTAACCTTTATCAATGACAGGAATGCTAGGTGTACAAAATGAAGTTATCACTGAGCATTATATTTATAATCAAAGTTTCTTTCAATTTTCAAAAGATGTATAGTATTAGAGCTGCTACATGAAGCACAGAGTAGGTTGTTTTTTTTTGTGACATTTTGCTAAAGAGTAGATAGTCAAAACCTCGGACAATACACCTTTCTTACCAATATTCTTGAATTTACCTCAAACCAACAACTGCATTTAATTAAACCCATGCCTTCTGTAATCTTGTTTATTCTAAGCCTTATTAACCACATGACTTCGTAACTCAAAGTGTTGCAAGTGACAAAACCCTCTATATACACCAAAGCTCAACACTTAAGTTTTTGATATCATACAATTAATTACTCATACAGCTCTTACTAATTGGGTCTACTACAACCATTTATCAAAATGTTAAATTAGTAGTGTTAATTGAACATTCTTTGTGATAGCTGATCCACTGTTGGATCTGACGGTTACCTGATGTAGGCATAAGGCTGAAACTAGTCGTGATATTTGTGTTTAGATAAGTATGTAAAAGACAGAAGTAGATTTACACATCAACTTCATATATATATATACTTAAGATTTATAAAGTAACACTTGTTTTTTCAAAATGATTGTTCACCTATTTATTTTTATGTTTCAGATCCTCGTCAACAAGTGGGGACTGAACTTGGCCCTGAGGCGTTGCAAAATACAAACATAGATTTAGGAATGGAAAACATGGATTCTGATGATTTGATGCCTAGCCTTCAGGTAGGAAAACTAAATTAATTTGCTAAAGTAAATTCAAACAGAGACTTGCCCATATGCATTGTAGGATGTCACTTGAAATATTTGTTATTGTTACAAGTTTTTTGTTTAAGATTTATAATTCTTCTAAACACTTGTGTTCATAGGCATTTGAAATAAACATGCAACAAGTAAAAAGTTATTTTATAATTGATAGCTGAAGAGTAAATTTGCTTTGAAAAAACTGCTGGAATGATTGTAGAAGTCAGCTTGATCTACAATGCTGTTTAGGTTCATTAAAAGTGTTGTACAGTGTATTTAGCACTTTAATTACTGTATGATAAATCTATTTTTCATCCATCATTAATCATATGATCTTCCTTAACTTTGGAACTTTGAAGTGATCATAAGCTATTCTTTAATTGATGAGAACATCTGAAATATCACATTAGCTTTCTCTTATATTAAAAACCCTCTTCTGTAAAGTCCTTCTATCTGTATAAGGCATTTGGTGCATATTTTCACCTTGGTTTTTGATGAGGGTGTAAACTTTCCTTTGCCGAGTTCCTTATTGAAAAGTGAACTTCATAATTGTTTTGAGGTAATTTTATCATAAAAGCATTTTAAAAGTTGAATGTCAACCATGTGAGTTCAGTGAATTTACATTAGTGCTAATGTATCAGCTACAGTAAATATTGATGTGATATGTCATTTTTTAAACATTTTTCAATTATGTAAAAATAAACAGAAGTTATAAATGAACAACTCACTAAATTCATTTGAGTGTATTAACTGACTTTCTCTTTGCAGGAAGATTTCATGGAGCATATTTTGTCTGATGTACTTAATGGTAACAGGGACAATGTGATGACCTGGGTATAAGTACAGGCAAATATCAATACTTTACAATCAGATGGAGAGTATCTTGGTACTGGAAACACCCATGAACAAATAAAACAAGATCCTCTCTCTACAATCTTAATATGTAAAGATTTACTTTCCTTATAATTGGAAAGAAGATAGTTTTAACAGGTCTTTGGGTTTAGAAGATATTTCCCCTCATCTTTGAGATGTGATAATGTTAACCATCATTTAAAATGTTTTAATATGTGTAGTGACTTATTTTTTTTCATCATGTGCCTTACTATATTTTTTCATTCATAAGCTATCAGGTTTTATTGGTTACTGTTACATAAGGTTCTGAAGTTTCTTAAGTGTCATACCTAGGTGTTCTAGGTTTTTTGTAAGTGCCTTAGTTCCCCTTCACCCTTACAATTGCAAAATATACAGGTTGATTCTCTACTTAACATTGTAGCCTGACTGAAAACTAATGATGATATAAAAATCAATATTTTTCTATTCTACAGTATAGCTGTAGTAAAGCTTGGATCTTCAGCTAAATATTCTACTGTGCCAAGCTTAAAACAGCTATTGGTTTTGATCATAAAAATTTCAAAAAAAGCACTTTACAAAAACAAAACTATGAATTTTCCAGCCTTGTACTATCCTGCCATTGCTTTTACACAAAGCAAGCAGTCCATAGTATTATGTTTTGTTGCTTTATAAAAAGGTTTCAAACTTTAACAAACCATGAGTTAAGGTATGTAGAAATCTTCAGCTTTGAATAAATATTTCAAAGTAAAAATCTGAATGTGCTGGAAATACTAGATTTACAGGGCTTTTTTTTTTAACATTTTTCCAGAATGATGGATTGTTGTCAATGTTTGTTATGTAGCATATACCTAATAAAAAGACTGAAAGTTCTATATGAGATGAGAGCATTGTTAGGTAGCACTGTTACAGATCACAGAATTTCATAAAATACATCCCCTGCTAACCACTTGGTACAGCATTATGAGAATGCTGCCTCAACCACTTGTTGATTAAAACATTCCTAGTGTTTGAAATCTGATGTTTACATGAAAATCTGCTTTGCAGCTATCAAAACTATGGTATATTTTAGGCACAAATTAGTGGATTAAGGAGTTTTAACTGTCATGATTGCTAATCAGCAAAATTTATTTCTCATTTTTTGTGTATAATATCTAATCATGCCATGTTCCACCAAAAGATACAAGAATTATTTTAGTACACAAATTTACTGTACATTTCCCTATTTTAGTTTCTTGCCATGACGTGACAATAATGGTTAAGAAATTTAGAATGGTGTTTGTTTTTAAACAGGTTATTTCAAATCAACTTTGGTGTACATACTGGTGTGTGGAAAACTTGATATTTATGTCTTTAGGGATAATTCAGCCATGTATATATACATAAAAAAAAATAAACATTTTTTTCTGTTGTAGTGACTGACTAAACTTCAATTTTGTGTACCACTGTTTAGTATTTCTAATGGGACATGCCTGTTTAAAGCAGCTGTTCAATCCTTACAAACAAAAGGTTTTAGAAAGGTTTGCTAGATGAGCGGGACCTAGTGCTGTAAATACTTTGGACTGCACACCATAAACTAGAATTTAAAAACAATTTTCTAACAAACCCAGACTTCTTACATCAATAAAACAAATATAAAGCACCAATTATTTCAAAGGAATTTCTTTAGCTGTTTATCGAAATAAATAGTAAACGACCCAAACAAATTACCAGATGAAAATGTCCTATATTCCTCTCTCCTAAGGTTAATTGTTGAAGTCAGAAATTTGGCATTTTAGTTCTACAGAAGATTTAAATTAAAAAGAAGAAACATAACTAAAATGTGTTATACTATATGTTAAGTATAACTGCAGCCAGTAAGAAATATATTTCAATAAATTCAAAACTAAATATAATCACAAAGACATATCTCCAATTAAAAATACCATTTTTTTCCTTCAGTATTATTATTCCAATAAGAAACATTATGAATATACACAAATCAAAGTTTTATACATAATATTAACTTCCTAACGGAGCAAGCTATGTAATTAGAACTGAAAAATCAACCTGGTAATGGTTATTGCTAATTAAATATACTTTTCTTACTTATAAAGATTTGAATGCCTGATTTCATCAGTTTGGTTCTTACTCTGTTAATGATATTTTTGGCTGTAATACCTCGTGAGGTTGACCAGCTTAGTCCTAAGTGCACAAAATTCTATAATAAAAAAATAAAATTATATACATTAAACACTAATCAATATTGTTAAAGTAATACAGAGTATGCCTTAGTTACAGAACACACAAACATTAATGTTAGCTTTAATATTGTCATGCATCGAGCTTGAACCAAGGACATTAATATAGCCATATACATAAGCAAAACTTTACACAATCCCCCTTCAAGTCACATTGTGATCAATTAAAACATATTAAACAGTTTTGACAGTGTAACTGTAGAGGAGCACTGTAACCAAGATAAATTACAATGGTGTGGGGTCAAGTGGCAAGACATTACCAAGAGTACATCCAACAACTGAAGCTTATGAAGATGTAAAATAAGAAATTAATAGAATACCTAAATTATAAAATAAGTAGCTACAATAGTAGTACTGTAATGAAAATATAACAATGTTAAACATACTATGAGGTTTATCTAACACAACTACTATTAATTAACTTCTATAATTTAATAAAACAAGTGAAGCAGACACTAGGAGGTAATAAGTGGAATTAAATCTTTGCAAAACCAAAATGAAAACAGGATAAGCCTTGAGAAAATTCAGTAATAACAATAAGACTTAGAAGGGACAGTCCCAACAATTGTAAATATGGCAAAAAAAAAAAATTGAAACTAATGTTACTTAATTAATGATGTGATGTTTTGCTATATTCAGAACTTGTATATATCTAGTATTAAATATACATTGTAAAATCTATGGTTGTCAATACACTAAGGCAGTTCACTATTCTACTACACAGTTTCCGAAAAAATTGAAGTGTAGATGTTAAAGTTTTTAAAAGATCATGATACTCGTTAAAACTTCTAAGCCCATAATCAGTAGCAAGAACATTGTTGAATTTCCCACAGAACTGAATGAATTTTGTATATAAAATGTTATAGAAGAAAGCTTGTTTGTGAAAAATGAGTGAGGTTACAAGCTCTGATTAAGAAGTCTTATAATATTGAATAAATTCTATTGTAATTTATAAACTGTATGTATTAAAGAGTATAACATAACTTACTTAGAAATGGAAAGTTAGTAACTTTAAAGATGAAAGTGTCTGAAAATTTCAAATCTAAATGTCTGCTTAATGATTTTAATATCTAAATCTACTTGTTAGTTTAACTTACCAAACTATGCCTGTGTAATTTAATGAATCATTACTCGGCTGTTTTTTATATAATTTTTCTAATTTGCTTTCTGTTTTAAACATGTTCTCATTGATTTCAGTTTTCAAGAACAAAATTGTATACATACATAAGAGGGTATAACTTCTCTACAAGCTATCTAATTTCTGTATTTAAACTTATTTTTCTAGGCAATTTCTGCTGGTAGTGTTGAATCCGCTCTGCTGCACTTTCCAGGTTCATTTTAAATTCATAACTTATAATTTCAATAAAAAAAAGCAAAGTTGTTGACAATTGAAAATGATTATTAAGAGTGAGATGTATAATATAAAGCTTTTCAATGTTATTTCTTTTGTAATAATTACTTCCTAATAGTACACGGTTTAGTTGTAACATGAAATGATCGGAATACTCAATATTATATTTCATCATACAAATAGCGACATGTAATATATTCATAAGTTCGGTTTTGAACTTAACTTTGTTTTGCCTGCTTTGTAGCCAAGTCAAAGTCATCAAGACTTGTGCATATTAAAAAGTACTTCCACTGAGGATCTTCATTCTGATACCACTTTTTTTTTTTTACGCAATGTTAATGTGATTTAATTTGAAATAACTACATAATTTCAACTACACTAATCACAATATTTTATGGAAAAAGTTTGTTCATAACAACTATCCACAAGGCCTTCTGTTTACTTTTAAAAATATGTGACTGCAATACTGTATACATCACATATAATTACTTACATGAAATACATATTGAACAATGTTTTCCAAGTTAAGAACAGTGCGAGTGGATTGGGGTTTCATAAATATCAAACTATTTGTATGTATCTCAGACTTAGTTTTAAAATGTTTTACAGCCTAAGTAATCAATTCTTCCAATCACTTAGTCATCTTCACTAGTGTAGTCTCTTGATTTACTCTTCTTAGGTGTTCCTTATGTTTGTTTTTGTCCCCCAAAGTGTTGTTTCAAGAGTAAATAAAACCAAAATAAAGAGTAACAAATACTTTATTTCTTGCTTTTGAAGTTCATATGTCATTTTGTGTTATAGCCTACAGACTACATAATTCTTCACGTGATTCACAACATGCAAAAATTTTAATGATGTCATGACAGTACAAATTGCAATGTTAAACGTCCCTTATGCGACGTCATTGTAATGTCTACTAACTAACTAACTGACAGACAAGATACTACTGTATAGTGATGTGAGTGGTTAAAACAGGTGATTACTCCAAGCGGCCTTTAGACTCCTTTTGGTGAAATAAGTTTTGCAAAATGGTATAATGAGGAAGAAATAAATATTTTAAAGTTTTTCTTGATTTTGATCCAATTGTAGGGAATGCAATTTTCAAAAGAAATACGTTTTGGTAATTCTTTTTTTTTTTTTTCCTATACACAAATAGTCATCAGAAGTGTGTCTTAACATTTTATATATAATAGTGAAATGTTTGTTTGGAATGCGTTGTTAATTTTGACTAAAATAAGAATCTAAACTCGACCCATTTTTTATGTGAAACAGGTCTTTAAGCATACATTCTGCCAATTATTAGTACTGATCATTGTAAATGTGTCCAATTAAATTAAAAGTACACATTCACCTTTCTTTTTTCTTTTTTTTTTAACTAAATTGTTTTGCAACACTAAAATTTATAAGCACAGCCTCACCTCAATTCTTCTAAGCTTTGCCCCTCTCTCTTTACTAACTTCATTCTTCAGGGTCTCCAATACTAATGGAGGATCCATATGTAAATCTTCATAAGCTTCTTGTACATTCTTTTGTAGTTTTAGTTCTTCCTCCATAGGCCTACAAATGTCAAGGAATCAGCTTCAACAAATAAGACACAAAAAAACAATAATAATAATGTGAAGAACTTATACTATTTCAATGTTATTCGTTACCTGATACACTGATGATTAAAGTAGTTTTGCAGCTAGTAAAATACAAGGGAAACTTAGACATATCATCAAAAAAATTGTAAATTTCTAAATAATCTGTAGTATTTTTTCTACACTAAAATAACCAAATATACACATTCATCCATCTCTACCTCAGCTTGTGGTATAATATCCTATGAGGCCACACAGAAATTATTTTTTGGTAAATTAAAGTTGGCATTACTTTCTTACAATAACATCGTTTCATCTACTAGTTTTGGATAGTTTGGTATTAAAACTATAATGTGACCTATGGAAAAGTCCTAATTTTGTAAAATAAAGTGTTAATAAGTGTCTTCGTGACCTAATACAATCATATTTAAATTTTTAATGACCATAATATAATATTGAAGCAAGATATAAAAGTTAACCTGAATCATACCTTCTTTTTTTTTTTTTTTTAGCTACAATATTTGTAAACACCGACCTTCAAAAATCAAGAATATTGGGGCAGTGGTTTATGAACTATCATGTAAATAACCTTGAAAACCACCCAATTTTAGCATGGTTTTTGGAGGCCATATGGAACATTTTATTTTTGATCACATTTCACGTGTATGTGCAGACTATACCAAAAGTCAATTTCTGACAAAATTACATTCCTATTCGAAAACGAGACCGGCTAAATTTAAAAGTTTTACCAGTATTTAGGTTTATCCAGGATTATTAAGCGCTAAATATCGATTACACGGCAGTTCATATGAGGCGCGGTATAGCATCAAAGATGTTTTACAAGCAAAACCTTTTTGCAACGATGTTTATAGCGCCTCCATTATTTTTGCTTACATCACCAACTGCCATATTACCGGTACGTCAATCCGCAATTATAACATGCGCTATTTAAAAATAATTGCTAGTATACTGTTGCGTCAGCGAGATCACGTGACTAATATCACGCCACGTCCTTCTCGAACCTTTGTGAATTATCGGGAGACTACTAGATTGGGGGTAGCCTGGTATATATAAGATGATCACAACGTGACGAAACATTGAGTAATTGAACTGCAACAGAGGTATTGTGTAATTGAATTGAGTATTGTCGAACACGAGCACGTGAGACGTTCTAGCGTTTGTTATAGAGCGACTGTTGAAATTAAGTGTATCGGTAAAGTTGTATTCGGAAAGAATAAACCAG